CTACCATAAATAAACAGAGGAGTAACGCCATAGTGTCGCAAGATATTTAACATATTTAACTTATTGTACAAAAGAAAGGAACTCACTTTGTACAATCGATCCCACACCCATGGATGATGTCCACTGTGATGAAATACGTCAGTAGAAGTTTAGTGGTGGCATCATCACTCCTTCTGATCTGAACAAAGCTGCAGCTTTGTACTTGCCTTGCAATTGGACAATGTGAGTACCTTTTTTTTGCAAAAAAAATAAGTTGAATAGCCTGATATATTATGGGGTTTCCTTTTCTGTTTTTTATACGGTGGATGCTATTGAGTATTTATCAATGGAGAACCAGAGCAGGAGAGATTTATTCAAGCTGCTATTACTATACTGGGATATTGCAGAGAGCTGTAAGACCTCCTATAATCTGGGGTCTAAACTAGAGATTCCCCCACTGAAGATAACACAAGTTGCTTTGAATTTTATCATAGAAATAAGGGACTTTTTTGCACTGTAGATCACTTAAATGTTGGATTTTTTTATATTTATATATATTGTTCTGTCTTTGCTACATGTTTCCCTGTGTGTAACTCGACATGCATTTAAACCCCCATATGCGGCAATAAGCAAGACTGAATGTAAACTAGAAGCTTTATTAACAAAACAGGGTGGATGAAACTACTAAAAAAAACAGATAAGACGTACAGATAAAACAGATAATCAATGTATGAAATATACAGGTACAAACACAATGAAATAAGTGGGCTACAAATGGCAATAAGTCCATGCCCACCAGCAATGCTGCCTGTAGGGGATGTAAGTTCAGTCCATGACATGTGCTGCAGAGAATTATAGCTGGTTCCTTTCCCCCAGTTCAGATGGAGCCTGAGTTCCCAAGATGCATCTGTTTCCTTTTCTTAGAATGAAGACATTTTTTTATTAGGTTAATTTAAAACAGTCTCTAGTTTCTGTAAAACAGTAAATTTATGTTAGGCTCCATCCAGTGGCTAAATTTAACATTGCAGGCTGAATTTCCAAGGAGGCGAAATATATATTATATGTCAGTGATAGGCAACCTTAAAGAACCTTACCTGAACAACATGGGAGAAGTCAAAGATAACCCGGGCACAGTGTCATCCAGTGTCACCTCCTCAAACCTTGTTTGAACCTCTAATTGTCGTACTACCACGTCACAATCACATGCATTGCACGGCAATCATGTGTTTAAATCAGGTGGTGAGAAGGCAACATATAGCCTCCTATAGCAGTGCCTGCTGCACTTGTGAATGAGCCCGTAGTTGCATTCCGCAGCGGCACCCTTAGGGCTCGTTCACACATAAAGTTGGGTGGGTGGTGGTAAAACTCAGCAGTTGAGTCACAGATTTACTGCCCCCAATCCCTACCCCGTTTAGCTGCCTCAGCAGCAGCAAAAGGTGTACACATGCCGCAGCAGGAATTAAACTTCCTGTTGCTTTTGATGGGTGCCACTGCCTGCCAATCGCAACCCATTCAAGTAAATGGGGAAACTCTGCAAGCGCCCCACAACTGCATGCTTCTTTGGGGCCCAAAGGGTTAAAGCAGTTGGTGAGAAAGCAACACAACGCTGCCTGCTTTAACCCTTTGTTTGCTGTACTGCACAAGGTTGCAGTACAGAGCAGCCTCATTCACTTGCATGAGTTATGCTTCGAAGATGCTAAACCAACCAACCATGACAGGGTGTATAAATACTGCTGCAGCATGGGTACACCCCCGGTCACTGCAGCTAAAGGGGGTGTGGTTGGGTCAGGGGTGGTAAAAACACATTTTAACGATAGGGTTTTACCATCCCCAAACTACAAATGTAAATGAATCCTTATTGTTCTGAGCTCTCTATAAGGCTGCTTTCACACTGATTTGTTGCAGGTTACCTGCATGGGTGCAGTGCAGTGCATCTGTGACTTTCCTGGGTTAGCTGTGCTTTGCCATAGACTTCTATTATATCTTGTGGGTGTGGTGCACTTTCCTGCATTCAGGAGTTTTCGTGTGCTTTCAGAAAGTCACCAAACCTGCAGGATATAATAGAAATCTATGGCTAAGCACAGCAAACCTGCAGGAAACCTGCAGCTACACTGCACTGCAGTATCCTGCAGCATGGGTAAACCGCAGCACACAAATGTGAAAGCAGCTCTATGCTATTATGCCCAGTGGAGTGCGGTTGGTATCGCTCCACATGGGACAGGAGCCAGCAATACAGAGGAGAGAGACATTGGCTTATGCGGCTCTTGCTCCCTACTACAGCTCCAACTTTACAAGTAGTCCTTCTGCATTGTAGTCTGTATGATGCTCTGGGGTGGCAGGTCAGCAAGTCCAGACCGCGGTCTACCAGTCACCTGATCGCAATATACTGGTAGTTCAGGATCTATGGGTTGCTGACCCCCGTTGTATGTTATTACAGCCACTGATCTGGTCCCTTGTTTGGACACTTGAGCTTTTTTTTTATGACCACATTTGTTATGATTGCATTTCTCTGAATTATTTGATTTAAAGGAGCAGTGCATCACATTTCTTCACATTTCTATGTTTTGATATTCATATTCCATGATTGGGGAAATGCTGCTAATACAACAGCTTGCTTTACACTAACCATGGTTTTTACATTTACATTTATTTTTTTTAAAAAAATGACTGGCAAGCAGTGGGAAAGATTTTACGGCAGACATCCAGAGTCTCTTCCACCATAAATATCTATCTCTCCACAGCTTTTTACATTTCAGGTTTAGTTCCACTTTAATTCTAAACCTTTTTGATTAAACTTTTGGGAATTCTGATAGGTTTTCTGGCAGCAGAAAACGATTCATGAATTCATTCAGGGAGATTTAATATATCTTTAAAGGAAATAATATTTGACAGAAAATGCTTCTTCTGGGCAGTTGATGAAATTTTGGTCTAAAGCGCTGAGGAGTTTCCTCTTCCAGATCAGAACTAAAATATATGGAATCAGCCATCTGTGAAAAGCCACCTGTGTATATTTGGATAGGACAAGCATCTCATCTAACAAATCTATTTCTGATCAGCAGACAATAGATTGAAGATGGAGCGATGGTGAAATAAATAACTTTTTAATAATACCAAAAAATCTCATATTTTCAGCATAAGCAAACCTGTGGTCAGCCTACAGCAAGGGTTTAAATCTGGCCCCTAGGGGTCTACTTATTTGCATGCACGTGGTTTTCAGAGTGTCCTGGGGCCCCAAAAGATGTGCAACTCTATTGTTCAAACACTTGCTTCAATTCCGTTCAGCATTTTAAGGTCTCAACTTCAGCTATATATCCCATAGTTTGTAGACTCTAACTTTCACACAGACTACATTATATATACTATTTTGGGTTATTTTTATCCAAAAAAGTAACAAAATACATTTCAGCCTAAATTCATGAAGATAGATTATTTATTTGCAAAGTTATATAACAAAAATTAAGCAAAACATTTTTTTTTCAAAACTTTGATATTTTTTCATTTATATAGCAAAAAATTAAAAAAACAGTGGTAATCAAATACAACCAAAAGAAAGCTCTATTTGTGTGAAAAAAATGATAAAAATGTCATATGGGTACAGTGTTGCATGACTGAATTATTGTCATTCAAAGTGCAACAGTGCTGAAAGCTGAAAATCGGCCTAGACCGGAAAGGGGTAAAAGTGTCTGGACTTAAAGGTTTACAAAATGATGGCGAGGTGAATGTGAAATCCACACTGAAACAGACCACATTGTAAAGCGTACAAACTGAAATAACACAGAGAAGTAACTCAACAAAATAAAAGCACCAAGCGGCTGAGGGCTAATAAAGGCCAGATCCATCCAATACAAAGATGCAACTATCTAACCATAGCCAAGAGAGTGGCACCTGGGACCTGCAGCAGTAAGAAGAGCCAACTGTGAGAGGACAGCACTGGACTCCAGGCAATGGTAAGTATCTGATTTTTAAAAGTCAGCAGCTAGAGAATTGCTTGCTGCTGACCTTTAATTTTAAAAAATTAAGTTACTTTTTAAATTCATGGCCTCAGCTGAGACCTTTCTTTTTTTATGATGAATTATTAAATAATTCTTACTATACACTTGAAGAAAACAAATGTTACCAATCCTATATCAGGCTCGGTTCACATCTGTGCAGCTCTGCGAGCCTCATTTGTGTAGGCACTGAAGCACATTTATTTGAATGGGCCGCTGTGCCTGACTCTTCATGCAAGGAAAAGGTTCCTGCACCTTTTTATAAAACTCAGCCACAGGGAAATTGCATGGTGCATTTGCACCATGTGATGTCCCCACAACAAAAAACGAACTGCGTTTTCAGACGTATAGGGGCGCCCTGCGCGTCTGCAAAAGAGCAAGGTGCTTTGGGTTGCAAGTGCATGATTTCCTTTGGATCTGGTTCACATCTGTGCGTTTTGAGACTGTGCAGATTTTTTAAGGGGTCAGGGACATTTTTTCCTACAGCACATTGCATTTTGTATGTAATACACTTCAATGTAACTGCATCAAAAATACAAGTGTTGCATTTTTGATGCATTGCTTAGGCATGTTGTAGTTTGCGTTTTGTGCTTTTTGTGACTCTAAGCTGGTTGAGGGGGGCTGGTAGCCGTTGGCATCCTTAACAACTAGTAAACAACATGGCCGTTAACCGCCTCCCACCCGCCATATAGTAAAATGATGGACGCAAGGCGGTTCCCTCGTTCTGGGAGGATGTCATATGACGTCCTCCCATTCTAACCGTGCAACACGGCAATCGGCGGTGCGCTGTGTCCCTCGGACACAGCGGATCACCGATCAACAGAAAGAGCCGAAGATGTCGGCTCGGTCATGTGATCAGCTGTGTCCAATCATAGCTAATCACATGTAAACAGGGAAATGCCGGTTATCGGCATTTCTCTCCTCACGAGCTGTCACGCTGACAGCTCGAGAGGAGAGGAGAGCCGGTAATCGGTATCCCTCAGATGATGATGATGATCAGTGTGCCCTGATGATCTGTGTAGCCCCAGCAGTGCCACCTCTCAGTGTTCATCAGTGCCAGCTGTCAGTGCTCATCCATGCCACCTGCCAGTGCCCATCAGTGCCACATTTCAGTGCCTACCAGTGCACATCAATGCCACATATCAATGCCCATCTGAGCTGCCTTTCAGTGTCACCCATCAGTGCCAGTCAGTGACACCTATCAATGCCAGTCAGTGCTACCTATCAGTGCCGTATATGAGTGCACCTTTCAGTGCCCATCAGTGCCACCTATCAGTGTCCATCAGTACAGCCTATCAGTGCCCATCAGTGCAGCCTCATTAGCGCACATCAGTGAAGGAGAAAAATCACTTATTTAGAAAATTTTATAACAAAAACTAAGAAATGTTTTTGTTTTTTTTCAAAATTTTTAGTGGTTTTGGTTTGTTTAAGAAAAAATAAAAACCCCGAGGTGATTAAATACCACCAAAAGAAAGCTCTATCTGTCACACAAAAAAATGATAAAACTTTCATATAAAAACTTTCATTCAAAGTGCAACAGCGCTGAAAGCTGGAAATTGGCCTGGGCAGGAAGGGGGTATAAGTGCCCTGTAGGCCAGTGGTTAAGGAGCAGGCAGCTGCCACAACATTAAGCCCTCATGCACACTGGACATTTTTATAGCTGCTGTTTTTGGCATTTGACTTTTTTTTTTTACAGTCAATAAACTCCCCAGCATGTTATCCTATGTGTCTATGCACACATAGGCTGTAATCAATGTTTTTTGGCAGGAAAAAAACCCCAAAACTAGTGGGTTTAATTTTTTAGCTGTAAAAACGCTCTAATGCTGAAAAACGTGGCAAAACCGGCATTTTTGACCAAAAAAAACATTTTTTTTTGTAAAACAAATGCTAAAAGACACAAACGCAGAAAAACGCTGCTAAATGCTAATGCAAAACAGCTAAAAAAAGCTGAAAAACTCAAGTTTTTAACATCACTTTAGGCAGCTAGCAATACCGGCGTTTTCAAAATGTCAAGTGTGCATGAGGACTAACAAATGCTCCATGCTGACAGCTGATTGTAAACAAAACAATTGCCGCCAATTAAAAATTCAGGGAAAAAACAGCACCAAATTTTTTAAAACAAAAACAGCGTGGGGTCTCCCTCAAAATCCATACCAGACCCTTATCTGAGCATGCAGCCGGGCAGGAAAAGGGGGGGGGGGGTGAAGGAGTTCCCTCCCTCCTGAACCATACCTTGGCACATGCCCTCAATATGATAGGGGTTGTTTGGGGCAGGGTGCCCCTTAGTTTATGTAGGAGCTGTCAGATGGCGGGAGGCAGCGCTGGGTGCGAAGCTCGTTTTTTTTTTTTCCTCAGATCAGCACCCGTGTTTGTCGTTGGATCTACTTTGGGAGACAGTTTTTTTAATAAAGGTCTTGTCAAAAACTATTGTGGTGTTTTTACATTTTTTTGGGTAATGAATAGGGGTACTCTGTATCCCATACTCATTCACATGGGAGCTGCATCTGGGAGCCCCTTGTTAAAGGGGGCTTCGAGATTCCGATAAGTCACCCCCTCCAGACACCTGCAAACACAGCACAGGGTTGTGGGGAGAAGCCCTTGTCCTCTTCAACATGGGGAAAAGGTGCTTTGGGGGGGCTGACCCAAAGCATCCCCCCATGTTGAGGGCAACACTCGCTCCCCCCCCCCCCTTTCCTGGCCTGTCGGCTGCATGCTCGGAAAAGGGTCTGGTATGGATTTTGAGGGGACCCCCATGCAATTTAAAAAAAAAATTTGATGTGGGGTTCCTCCCTTTCAAATCCATATCAGACCCGAAGTGCATGGTAAGGATTGGGGGGGAGCCCATGCTGTTTTTCTTTTCTTGTTTTGTTTACATTCCCGCTAACAGCTGATGACTCATTGGTTGTTAAGGACCTAAAAGTCACCTGCTCCTTAACGACCATGTTGTTTACTGGATATTAAAGACACTGACAGCTGCCTGCTCCTTAAAAACCTGTTAAAGTCATACAAAGCACAAAATGCAAAAAGCATAAAAAATTACATAAAAAGCACATTAAAAAATGGGTGTGAAAAAAACTCAAAATGCACCCGAAAAATGCATCAACCGCAATCTACATAGATGTGAACCTAGCCTTATGCAGGCCATAGACGGTTCGTTTATCGACCGATTTTTTGTCCGAAAAATGAAATATCGTTTGTCTAGTAATCCGATGTTGCCACCAATGATTTCGAAAATCGGTCACTTTTCACGAATTTTTACAGCATGACAGATAAACGAAATGAGGAGGAACGAGGAAAATCGGCCAATGCCATTGCCCCATTAACAGTGCAAAAATCGGCCGATTATTCTTTCGGATTAAAAATCGGCCGATTTTTGAACCGTCTATGGCCTGCATTAGTCGTAATATTTCTATCTTGCAGGAAATTGTTACACATAGGAACACATTACAGAATTTAACATGTGCAGGTACTGCCATCTAGTGGCAGCAGATGAATAGGTCAATAGATTTATTTTTTGTCCTTATGCTTAGTGATATCACAGCCATCAATAAATATATACTCTTTGATTAAACTTTTAGGAAAATAAAGCTGTGTTATTATTTACTGTTTTGCTGTTGTATTATATTTTGCACACAGGGCTAATAAAATACTGACATATGCCAGCAGGACCCTGAATAAAAATGCATGTAATGGTCCATAAAGTGCTTCCATTTACATGTGTTCAGGCACATAAAGGCCAATAAAACATCCAAAGTCAAAGCAATATTCTTTCATTATTCTAGCTTCACTTTCAGTCCCAGCATATATGCATGTACATGTGTTTACATGCCTATGCGTGTAATTTATACAGAAATCCTGACTGCGCACAGAATTTTCTACTTTGAAATTACACAGCTGAATACTGGGCAAGATTAGTGAGCATAATGCAGCTGTGTGCATAGACCCATTATATATAATAATGCCATGGTCAGATCTGTGAAATAAAAGCTGTACAGAGCTGTACGCCTGTGAGCATGAGCCTTTTGTCTGACACAGCTGATGTATCCTCAGCCATTTGCCAGTTGATATAATTGTGCACGTAATAGGAAATCATTTTTATTATAAACATTCATTATAATGTAACATAATAATATGATATCCTCTTAAGTACAAAAAACAGCACTTTTTATTTGGGAAACAAAGACTTCATTTTATGGGGCCCCTATGCCTCTGACGGAACATGTTTCAACTTTCTAACCATTTTTCTCTGTTCTGTATGTTGGATACATTGTAAATGATAAAAGCTTCATACTTCTCATGATTTTTGCAATTCTTCTGCACAACTCTAGAAAGACACTGAAATGCAAAATCTTTTTACGCACCATAAGCCCCTGAAAATGTTATACCAAGCAAAACCAATATTCCAGTGCTTTGTAGAAACTGGAGAGTTATTCCAACATAGCAGTTTCTTCTATCTACCAGGAACCATATTGGTGAAATTACTGAACTAAGTTCCAGAGTCCTCACATCTGCTGTACCTATTATAAGGGGTTCTCACCATTCCTGTACTGAGTTCCTGGGTCTTTACACCTACCAAGATCATTATGAGGGGTTCCCACCATCCAACTGCCCTCCAATTCGATCCACCTAGATCAGTCTTTTTCAACCAGGGTGCCTTAAGGTTTCTTCAGGGGTGCCTTGGCAAAATGTCTAAAAATTGCCCAATACTTGTATGCAAGCCAGCGGGTGGAACAAGCCTACCTTTTAGTTGTACAAAGCCACAGGTTTTCATTGTGCACCATTACGACCTTCTAGCCACTGGCATCCTGACAACCAATGACATCATCAGTTGATAACGAGGATGTCAGCTACCTGCACAGCCTCCTAGTTTTACCCTCCCCTACCCCTCTCCCTCAGTGCTGGGGTCACATTAGCTTAGTGATGTAGAAAAACTGAGGGAGAAGAGAAACACTGGAATACTAGTCAGTACCAGTGTGCAAATGTGTATTTGCTTTGGAAGAATAAATCACCTCTAATGTTGGGTGTCCTACATGTGTGGATGCTGCTGCATATATAAAACTATTAGAATAGTTTTTCACATTTTAGAATGGGGTGCCCTTTTAAAATTATGAACAGTGTAGAGGCATCCCATTTTAAAATGGGGTGCCTCAAGACTGAACATCATTTTAAAGGGGTGCCTCGGGGACTGTCCATCATTTTAAAGGGTACCTTGACTGAAAAAAGGTTGAGAAACACTGACCTAGACAGAGAAAGACAGATCCTCTCCCATTTTTTTTAGTGGACTGCATCAGCTTGGAGGTAGGCGGGTGTAGACAAACACAAATCTTACACGCCAGTCCATAGAGGTGAATGGACCTTCTGCTCACGTCCACCTGAAAAATGGACAAGTAGACCTGATCAAACCATGCGTGTGAAAGGGGCCTAGTCTTAAAGTGGAACTAAAATCCACCTTACTTACCTTGAGTTTCCTTGCCATCACTGACATTTTCATCTGGTCTTCTTCTGGATTCTGCATCTTCGATCATTTTGATTGGCCAGTCCAGGATGAGCCAACTTACTCACAGAGGTTAATTCATCCTGGCATCAAGGCATGCTGAGAATGTATGCTCTCAGAATTCTCACTTTGAAACTCAGAATTTAGTTTAATACATTTTAGGATAACCTCAGGGCTTCTGTACAGGATTCCGTATACATCCACAAGAAATATTTCTTGTGGGCAGGAAAGGAAATGTTACTGTAGAAGAGACATACAGATCCTCATTTGCGATATACACCTACCCGTCATGAAGGTTTCATTGTTATTCCATAGTACCACTTTAAACATTTTCCTAGGAAAATAACTCTGGACTCAGGATTGATATATAAGATCAGGAATTTAATTGATTGAAGGATGACACATATCATACAACCAGTGCGACAACATAGCCCTGAGATGCGTTTCACACAACATTCAGCTTCGGCGAATCGCCAACCGTCCGTTCCATGATTGGGTTCAGAGTTATCAAAGATTCTGACAATAATCTCCATTTAAAAGCGCTAGAAAATACAGTGAACTATTACTCCACAAAAGAAAGAGAGAGAAAGAGAGAGTCTCATGATCAAAGTATCTGGAGACGCCTCCATCAGCCAATCAGATCACTTTTTGTGTTTCTAGCAAAGGTTGAAATGAAAAAGGTGATTGGTTGGTATAGGTAATAGGTACCATTCCACCTACAGATGTCTTTGATCAAGAGACTCGAACAGAGTAGACACTCTAACAACATTGCTGTATACATTGGGGCTTGTACACACAAGTTCCAGACTGGGAAAACGTATTTATGTAAAAAGACGAGTGTGAAGATATACCTGTAGTGCCTGTCTGTTTAGGGGAGATGATTCAACTGCAGTCTCAGTGTATGTGGACCCCTGTACCTACAGATACCCTTACACATTGAAAGCCATTCACACCAATAATGCTTTAATTTCATTTTGAATAACATACCAACACACTGTTAAAATAGTAGACACCCACGCTGCAGCGCAGTGCAACATACGTTGGGTTAAAAAGGTAATATCTGTGTTTTTTTTCATGCATTAAATTGTGGTAACAGCCCAGCCCATTCAAAATGATTCTGCTGCTTTAGGGTATGATAACCTATCGCAATAACACGCGTTATTAACAAGCGTGCAACACTTGGGTTGGCCACTTCCCACATGGAAGAAAAATATATTTGAAATATATTTTAAAAATATTCTTCCCAAATATATATATACTGCATGTTAAAATGCATTTTTTTTATATATTACAAAACATATGAAAAATATTTTTAAAAATATATATTTTTTAAATATATTCTTCAGATTTTTTTAACATATAAAAAAGTCAATTCAACATATATTTGTACATCTATTTGTAAATGCATTCCAAAAATTTAGATTTGTATTTTTAAAGACATACAGTATATTTGAAATGTATTTTTAAAAATATTTTTCATATATTTTGTAATGAAAATGCATTTCAACATGCAGTATATATTATATATGTATATATATATATATATATATATATATATATATATATATATATATATATATTATTTATTTATTTTTTAAATATATTGAATATGGCTAAAATTGTAGTATTTCAAATATATGGCAATATATTTGGGAAGACTATTTTTAAACTATGTTTCAAGTATATTTTTCTTCCATATGGGTTGCCAGTCTCTAGAGAAGGACCAGAATCTATACTAGGTACAGCCAGAAAGTGGCATTAGTGAACAGTAGTGGAAGTTATGTAACAGATATAGTTTTCTATGAAATGTTTTTGTCATTTGCAGTTTTTTGCGTTTTGGGTGTTTCTTGTGGCTTAAGACCTAACGTAGGGACATTTTTTTCAGTTTTTTAAATAGTACACCAGGAGGTGTAAGTTATAAAAAAGCAGCTAAGGCTGCAAAGCTCACCTCCTCCACGGTTGACACACTCAGTGAATCCTTTCCACCACTAGATGTCCGCAGTCTTCCAGGAATCAGGATATCTAGGCTCATTTATTCAATGCAGAATAATGAGGACATCTGTGAGTCCAAGAGTCCTGGACCCACCGCTAAAGGGAGCCCCCACAATGCTCTTAACTCACAACAATGCTGTCATCAATGCCAGCACTGCATTATTGAAGACTGCCCCCTACTGGAGAAGGGGCAAAAATTACCCTGCACATCGCATAACCAGTCTGAAGACACCTAGAAAGGATAAGTATAGAAAAAAACCATACAACACTGCTGGGGCTACCAGGGGAGGAGGTCAGGTGACATGGGGACTACCAGCCCCTCCCTCCTAGATTGTAAGCTCCAAGGAGCAGGGCCCTCCGATCCCTCTTGTATTGAACTGTATTGTTGCTGTATTTCTCCCTTTATATTGTAAAGCGCTGAGCAAACTGTTGGCGCTATATAAATCCTATATAATATTAATAATAATGGGAAACCTGGAGTCAGTGGTTGGCACTGTGGCAATTGTGTGCTGTTTGAAATTTTCACTACTCTGTGTGCATGGAGTTTGTATATTATGACAGCGTCTGTATGGGTGTCCTCCAAAAACACAAAGTGGTGATTTTAATGGGGCTGTTTTGTTATATGTTGTTTTATAACCAATACTGATTCCTCATCAACATGTGTCCATCAGCATGGGCAGCAGGAAAGGAGGGTATTTATACTTTTATTTCACAGGTACAGCTTTTCGGAGGACAGAGTTGCTTTAAGTTTTAATTTTGGGTATAGGTGTATGGTATAGGTTAACATTTATAACTTGGGTGGTGGTCAGTTTAAGGATAGGAGGGTCCCATTAAATTTCTTCTTATTGAAAACCTCTACAGTAAGAACTATTGGCCTTTAAAAAGACAACAAACTGCCAAAAAACAAAACTGGCAATCAAAGCGGCATCTGACCAAATTGGCCTTAGTGTGGTAGGGGAGGTAGTTTGTAAACTCCTCTCAGTTTTTATGCTGCACAAGATTAACAATTTTATAGCTTAATGCATTTGGCAGCTCAGTGGCTAAATGGTTAGCACTTCCACCTGGCAGTACTAGGTTCATTGGTTTGAATCCCAACCATGGCACCACCTGCCTGGAGTTTGCATGTTCTCCCTGTGCCTGTGTGGGTTTCCTCTGGGTACTTTCATTTCCTCCCACACTCCAAAAACATGCTGGTAGGTTAATTGGATCCTGTCTAAACTGGCCCTAGTATGTGTTTGTATGAATGTGAGTTAGGGACCTTAGATTGGACACACTTTGAGGTTTGGGACTGATGTGAATGTATAATATATATGTAAAGCACTGTGTAAATTGACAGCGCTATATAAGTACCTGTAATAAATAAATCATTTCCACCACCAGGCAATGTAAAAGCGTCATGGAGGGATCCCTTCCACGCTGGAGCCTGTGTGTACAAGCCGTTACAATTCCGTGGTCCCGAGGCAGCTTAGCGCTGTCCCAAGATTCCCTGTAGCCCTGTAGGATCTTCAGCTCTGCGGTTCCAATCGACACCAAGGACCTGACAATGCAGTGATCACCGCTCCAGCACTGCAAGAGTTAACTGAAAAGAAGCAATGAAATACTGAGAGACAGGCAGCTGCCTGGGAGCCGTCCCCTGCGGAGGGGAGAATATTACACAGGATAATTACAGTATATTGTGCAGCCAATAGAAACAGAGGCCAAAAGCTTGTCTAGCTAATACATTGGTAATCGTTGCATGCATTTCCTATAAGCTGAAGTCAAAGTTCAGGTCAAATTTCCCCATCCGTTGCTTATACACCAGGTCGAATTTGTCGTTCATGGATACAGTGAAAATATCCTTCCAAAGGCCGACCCTTCCTGGAGGACAAAAAAAATAAAAAGTCTTTAAATATAATAACTTTTGACTAATTATAAAAAAAATCAGCATATTGCTGGAGTACTTAAAGCATATATAGAGCCAAAGCTTTTTATTTTTAACTGAAAAGAATGTAGAATTATTAGAACTCTTGTCGTGTGTCCCCGCTGGGAAGACACTCTCTCTACTTGTCTTGGTGGTCATTGTCACAAAGACAGAAGTGATGGGAAATATAACATTTTGCAGTTGTCACCAGAACAAGAGGTGAGGAAGAACCATACAAAGTTGACACCTGTTCTAGAATAAGAATTCCTTTCACTTTGTAGAGATTTCATGTCACTTCCCATTGTTTCTTTGGGTCAAGAAGTGAAGGGAAAACTCCAAATATGACACGAAAGCTAACATTAAACTGACAGGCATTCTAACCCATCCCTATTATCCAAAACTAAAACAAAAAGTGTTTTGGCTATAAATACATTTTTAAATGATTGTTCTGCCAAAACTGTTTTTCTCAATTTTAGATGAAGTAGAGAAGGATTAAACCCTCTGTTAGGTTTTTATTTCTATCAAGAGCCTTGTTATAGAGATTTACCCTCATGTCTTGTCCCACTGATGTTTTTGTAGATATGAAGTGAAAGGAGCTCTTTAAAATGGTTCTAAAGTCAAAAGGTTGGGGTTTAATTGATGGATGCACCTTATTTTACTTGGTGGTTATTTCTGCGTGCACTCCCATTTTCATGTAGTTTTTCTATGTATACAGTGGGGGAAATAATTATTTGATCCCCTGCAGATTTTGTAAATTTACCCACTTACAAAGAAATTAAGGGTCTATAATATTTACCATAGGTGTATTTTAAATGATAGAGACAGAATATCAACCAAAAATCCAGAAAAAAACACGATACAAATGTTATAAATTGAGTTGCAGTTCAGTGAGTAAAATAAGTATTTGATCCCCTACCAACCAACAATAATTCTGGCTCCCACAGACTGGCTATGTGCTCATGTGGTACACAGATTAGATTTTAGACCTGCACAAGGCTGGAATGGGCTACAAGATCATCAGCAAGAAGCTTGGTGAGAAGGAGACAACTGTGGGAGCGATTATTTGCAAATGGAAGAAATACAAAATAACTATCAATTTCCCTCGGTCTGGAGCTCCATGCTAGATTTCACCTCATGGGGTAAGGATGATCATGAGAGCCCAGAACTACACAGGAGGAGCTTGTGAATGATCTCAAGGCAGTTGGGACCACAGTCAACAAACAAACCATTGCTAACACAATACTCCGCCATAGATTGAAATCCTGCAGCGCCCGCAAGGTCCCCCTCCTCAAAAAGGCACATGTACAGGCCCGTATGAAGTTTGCCAATGAGCATCTAAATGATTCAGAGAAGGACTGGGAGAAAGTATTGTGGTCAGATGAGACCAAAATTGAGTTCTTTGACATTAACTCGACTTGCCGTGTTTGGAGAAAGAAACATACTGACTATGACCCTAAGAACACCATCCCTACAGTCAAGCACGGAGGTGGAAACATCATGCTTTGGGCTGTTTCTCTGCTAAAGGTACAGGCCAACTTTGCAGCATTGAGCGGCCAATGGACAGGGCCATGTATTGTAAAATCTTCGATGAGAACCTTCTTCCCTCAGCCAGAACACTGAAAATGGGTCGTGGATGGGTCTTCCAGCATGACAATGACCCAAAACATACTGCCAGGCAACAAAGAAGTGGCTCAAGAAGAAGCACATTAAGGTCATGGAGTGGCCTAGCCAGTCTCCAGACCTTAATCCTACAGAAAATTTATGGTGGGAGCTGAAACATTGAGCTGCGAAGTGACAGCCAAGAAACCTTAAGGATTTGGAGAAGATCTGTAAAGAAGAGTGGACTAAAATCCGTCCTGAGATTTAAGAAATGTCTGACCTCTGTGCTTGCCAACAAGGGTTTTTCCGCCAAGTACTAAGTCATGTTTTGCTTGGGGATCAAATACTTATTTAACTCACTGAACTGCAACTCAATTTATAATATTTGTATCATGTGTTTTTTTCAAGGATTTTTAGTTGATATTCTATCTCTAATTTAAAATGCACTTATGATATCAATTAAAGACCGTTAATTTCTTTGTAAGTGGGCAAACTTACAAAATCTGCAGGAGATCAAATAATTGTTTTCCCCACTGTACTCTTCCCCCCCCCACCCCCCCCCCCCCCCCCCCCCCCCCCCCCCCCCCCCCCCCCCCCCCCCCCCCCCCCCCCCCCCCCCCCCCCCCCCCCCCCCCCCCCCCCCCCCCCCCCCCCCCCCCCCCCCCCCCCCCCCCCCCCCCCCCCCCCCCCCCCCCCTTGTGTCTAAATGATACTGAGCCGTTTTGGATCGCATTTCAAAATTGATCTTAGCATGTGTTTTCTTTAGTGATGCTTAATGAGGCTTTTGTTTCTGTATGATTTCTACCTGTATACCTGAAACTCAATAAACCTTTATTCTTTAAATTCAAAAGGTTTTTTACGTTAATGCAATCATTGCATTAAGATATAAAATGCCCAACTACCTGACCTACACACACACATACCTCCCTAAACACTTACCTGACTCCTTTCACAGATCCAGCACTGTCCAGCTGCAACATGTCTCCCTTTACATTCTGGTTTCACAAGAGACATTGAGAGCAGCAGAGCCACAGGCTCCTGTTGCTGCCAGTCAAACACCAATGAGGAGGGAGCAGGGTGTGGTTTACTGGCGCTGTGTGTGTCTATGGACACACACGGCCCAGGAACTGCCAGAAGAGGATGTAAGCAACCTTTCTGTGCAATATCCTTGCACAGAGCAGGTAAGTATAACATTTTTTCATTTTTCACAAGTTTTTCATTTAAAAAATTAGCCTTTAGTATCGTTTTAACAATTATGTTTTGTGCATTTTTGTTAGTCATACAGTGAACTAACTGCTCACTCTCTATCCTTACACCTAAAACACAAATGGTAGAAATATAGGACAACAGTTCTGGTACTCACATTATTCTTCTAGTCATCAGTTTGGGGTGTACCGATGCAAAGTGGGCGATCTGTCTCTCTGGGCCTCTCTCTTCTTCCAAACATTCAAGGCCACTTGTGGCATTCATATCTGATTTTATTAGTTGGTGTAGGGAGAGGGTAGCACAAGACACTTGGCCAGAGGGTTCAAGGAGTATAAATCTGGCCCTGTCAACAAGTAATCATCAGGTGCGACAACAGAGCTTGACAAGGTAGGCTTCAACTGTGCTTTTTGGCCTGTCGTACTAAAGCCCCCTATAGATGGCTCAAATTGTGGCTGATTCTTGCTGTATTATTTAAAATTTAAGCCACGGGTGGCCATGTAAACACCACCAGGCTCAACCAAAGTTGATTTAAAAATCAAATGAGCCAGGTGGAGAAGCCCAACAGTGACTGCGTCCTTTCAGATGTATCATTCTATCAGATGCAGTTACTGTTTGACAGTGCTAGCAGCCACAAGAGCCACAGCTGCCTGAATAGAATGTACATCCCACCATCCATGCTGCTTAGCATAAATGGGGGATTCGAGTGGTTCCCTCTCAATCTCTTGCAAGCTGCATGGTTGAAATATGAGGTGTCTATATCTTTTATTAGAGCTCCTGTCAACCACTACAGGCTGATCAGCATATACAATAGGTACTGCTGGACCTAAGCATGGAAGAGAAGGGAAAGAAGGAGCGACTCTGTGCATTTGGGGTCTTTCAGAAACTTGTAAACACCAGCAGTGACCCAATACATAGCAAGCACCTTCTATGTGCGAAAGCTGAATAATGAACAAAGATAACTGCCGATAACCGTTGTCCTGGGGCAGCACTGCAGCTTGCTGTATTTTTTATGAGACAACCTTGCATTATGAATGAGACACCCACCTGACGCCCCCCGCTGCGATCCTGTAACTGGGGCACATGAATTACAAGCTAATGAACTGCCTGCTCACATCTTCAGAATGAAAACAACCAACACGCTAAAAGAAAACAAAAACAGAACTGAAAACATACATGACATTCAAAGGAAAAGAAAAAGAATCAAAGGAACAGAAAACATGTATCAAACGCAAATGTCTGGTGTGAAAATAAAATAAAGGTTAACAGAAAGATAAAATAAACTAAAAAAAACACACCTGCAAAAAAGCTTATCTGCAATCGCTCATACCTAAATCGATCACCAACTGTCATATGTATGGCCACCATAAGCATCCTGAATATGACCTTTCTTGGAAAGCAAAAATAATGTGGTATGTTAGAAATCCCCTCCAATCAATATTGCTCTTTCCAGTGTGGTGGTAGCGTCTGTCAGTTCCTCATACCGCTTTTCAATGGCTAAATGTAAATGATGGCTCAAGCTGCAAATCAAGAGGGCCTTTTAGCTGTGGGATCATGTATTCATATCTGTGAAATCTATGGGCTCCAAGGGCGAGACAAAATACATCCTGATGAAGACACTCCACCTTAAACTGGCAGTGAAATAGGACAAAGATAAATGTAATGGCCTTTGTGACTTTAGCATAGCTGTAATGTTACCGGGCAGCATCTCCAGCCCTCTGATTGACCATTTGTTACCCAAAGTTGCTCTTTCACATGCAACAGAAAATAATCCTCCATTCTTGTTGGATGCTTGTGCCTAGATAAACAATGGATACTTCCTTGGACAACAAAAGGAAGATGATAAGATCTATCAGACATGTACCTCTACCCACAGGAAGGGCCTCTGCGTTACAACACTGGTCAATAAGTTGATGGCAATGTTCTACTGTGCACTCCAGTTGGGCCTTATCGTAAGACACTCCCAGAAACCTCACTAGCTGTTCCACCATTGTGCCGAGGTCCTGGAGGGAGACAAAAAAGTATATCTCTAGTGCTTAGCATGTCCATTTAGTGGTTACACTGTTTGCCCTGCAGGGCAGAAATAACAGGTAAGAGTGCCCATATGAAGAAAAAATATATATATTTAAAAATACTCTTCCCAAATATATTGACATATATTTGAAATACTACAATTTTGACCATATTCAATATATATATATATATATATATATATATATATATATATATATATATACATATATATATACATACATACACACATACATACATACATATACATACATACACTGTATGTTAAAATGTGTTTTTATTACAAAATATCTGAAAAATATTTTTAAAAATACATTTCAAATATACTGTATGTCTTTAAAAATACAAATCTACATTTTTGGAATGCATTTACAAATATGTAAAAATTTATGTTAAAATGACTTTTTATATGTTAAAAAAAAATGGGCTATATTTAAAAAATATATATATTTAAAAATATTCTTCAGATTTTTTTTAACATATAAAAAAGTCATTTTAACATAAATATTTACATATTTGTAAATGCATTCCAAAAATGTAGATTTCTATTTTTAAAGATATACAGTATATTTTAAAATGTATTTTTAAAAATATTTTTCAGATATTTTGTGATAAAAACGCATTTCAACATACAGTATATGTATATATATTTATTGAAATATATTTGAAATATATTGAATATGGCCAAAATTGTAGTATTTCAAATATATGGCAATATATTTGGGAAGAATATTTTTAAAATATAGTTCAAATATATTTTTCTTCCATGTGGGTGCCTGTAAAAAGTACAGTATTGTTCTTGTATTTGTATGCACACCAGAAACTGGGGTGCCGGTGACATATGTTTTCTTATTGAACATGGTGCTGTTCTTTGGTTGTGCAGCACACAACAACAAAGTCCATTACCGGTCTGGTGTCTGATGGGAATATCTCATTAATATCACCAAGAAAAAAAGGAAAACTGCTCTTCCCCAGCTGCCAGCCTAGGCCACATAGTGTACTGGCAGCTTTAACCGTATTTCATAGTATTAGAAACTGCAGTCAATTTTTAAACTTGCAGTGAGACAAGAGACTCAGCAGGTCGCAACCATTTTACAGCAATACTGTATAGGAAGTTGTGCAATAAACTACCAAAAATTGAACTTTAAAACATTAACAGACAGTGAAAGCAAATATTTACATTAAGCTGATCACCTTCAAATATAAAAAGACTATGGTTCACCTTCATTTTTGAGTGCAGGTTAGACAATGAAAGGGGGAATCTGACTGGTTTCTGATGGCAAGTATATTAGTGTACATAAAATAAATACAAAATGTAATGGATTATCAATATGGATTTTATCATCAAAATGCGAGGGTTCTTCAAAAAGTTTCTACACTTTTTTAAACTCTATTTAATAAAAAAAAAAAAAAAAGTGCTGAAATTTTTTGAAGATTTAGAATATACAGAGCTTGTCTACATGTTTGCCAATATTCCACTAGGGGGCGCCATGACCTTTGCTTTCTCACATTAGAGCAGATGTGTGAACAAATAAAATTGTCCTATTGATTTTTAGTTTCTGATTTTTGGGGGTTTTTTTTAATTGATAAAAAAATCCATGGGACAAGCTGGAAAATCTTAATTTGTTTTTAATGAGTTGAAGTACATGGTGCAATCTAACATTTTATTTCATCTAGTAGAACATGCAAAAAAGTAGATAAAAAAATATCTGCTGAATAACTTTTGTGCATTCATTACATTACATTACATTACATTACATCGAGTTTATATAGTGCCAAAGGGTTTGCTCAGCGCTGTACAATAGAGGGGGGGACAATACATGAAACATTACAGCAACTACAAACAGCACACGAGGGGTTATAGGGCCCTACTCTTTCGAGCTTACAATCTAGGAGGGGGGGGGGTAGTGGTACAGGAGGAAGTGGCTGTGGGGGATGGAGTGGTAGGAGGAATGAAGGAGAGCAGCACTTAGGTGAGGGTGGGGTAGGCTTCCCTGAAGAGGTGGGTTTTCAGGGAGCGCCTGAAGGTGAGGAGGGAAGGTGACAGTCTGATGGATTGGGGTAGTGAGTTCCAGAGGATGGGGGAGGACCTGCAGAAGTCTTGCAGACGTGCGTGTGAGGAGGAGACCAGGGAGCAAGATAGAAGGAGGTCCTGTGAAGAGCGAAGGGTACGGGTAGGGTGGTACTTGGGAATCAGGTTGGTGAGGTAGTTAGGGGCAGTGTTGTGAACGGCTTTGTAGGTCAGAGTGATTAGTTTGAATTTGATGCGTTGGGCGATAGGGAGCCAGTGGAGGGATAGGCAGAGGGGGGTGGCAGAGAGGTGGAGCGGGTGGTGAGGTGAATGAGTCTAGCCGCTGAGTTCAGGATGGTCTGAAGTGGGGAGAGCCTGCACTGGGGTAGGCCGGTGAGGAGGGAGTTGCAGTAGTCAAGGCGTGAGATAATCAGGGAGTGTACGAGTAGTTTAGTGGTGTCTGGGGTAAGGAAGGTGCGTATCTTGGTGATGTTGCGGAGGTGGAGCCTGCATGTGTTTGTAAGTGATTTGACATGAGGTTGGAAGGAGAGGTTAGAGTCCAGAATGACTCCAAGGACTTTGGCTTGCGGGGCGGGATTGATGGTGGTGATGTTAGTAGTGATGGATAGGATGGGGGGGGGGGGCGCAGGCAGGGGGGAAGACGAGAAGCTCGGTTTTGGAGAGGTTAAGCTTGAGGAAATGGAGCGACATCCAGTCAGAGATGTCGTTTAGGAGGTGAGTGATGCGGGCGGAGAAAGTGGGGGTGAGGTGGGGGGGGGAGAGGTAAATTTGAGTATCATCAGCGTAGAGGTGGTAGCTGAAGCCGTGGGATCATATGAGTTTGCCAAGGGAGGAGGTGTAGATGGAGAAGAGAAGGGGTCCAAGGACAGAGCCCTGGGGGACCCCAACAAGAGGGGAGGGAAGGGGAGGTGGCACCATTGTAGGAAACGCTGAAAAAGCGTCGGGATAGGTAAGAGGAGAACCAGGAGAGAGCGGTGTCTCTGATGCCAAGGGAGAGTAGTTTATTAAGGAGGAGGGGGTGGTCAACTGTGTCGAAGGCCGCGGAGAGGTCCAGGAGGAGGAGGACAGAGTAGTCGCCTTTGGCTTTGGCGGTTAGTAGGTCGTTGGTGATTTTGAGGAGGGCGGTTTCGGTGGAGTGTAGGGGACGGAAGCAAGACTGTAGTGGATCAAGGAGGTTGTTGTCAGTTAGGTGGGCGCTTAGGCAGTCGTAGACTAAGCGCTCCAGGAGTTTGGAAGTGAGTGGCAGCAGGGAGATGGGTCTGAGGTTGTTTGGGTCAGAGGGGTCCAGGGAGGGCTTTTTGAGTATGGGGGTGATGTGCGCATGCTTTAGGGGGGAGGGGAATACGCCGGTAGAGAGGGAGAGATTGAAGATGTGGGTGAGGGAGCAGATGAGGGAAGAGGGGGGTGACCGGAGGAGTCGAGAGGGGATAGGGTCCAGGGGGCAGGTAGTGAGGCGGGCTTCTGAGAAGACCCTGGTGACTTCCTCAGTGGTAGCGGGGCTGAAGGAGTGCAGAGCTTGGGGGGTTACGGTAAGCGGGGTCTTGGGTGTGGGTGGAGGGGGGCAGTGCGGTTGCGAGGTCAGAGGAGGGAAGAGATGAGGGGGAGATGGGGGGGGGGGGGAGGATAGGTGGGGAGATAGATTGCGAGTTGACTATGTCCTGACAGATTGCATCAATCTTGTTGTGGAAATGAGTGGCAATTTTCGCGGGCGGTGAGTGAGTACTGAGTGGAGGAGGGGGGGAGAGAGTAGGGAGTTGAAGGTGGAGAAGAGTCGGCGAGGGCAGGAGGAGAGGGTCTTGATCAGGTTTACGAAGTAAGCCTGCTTGGCGGCGTGGAGGGAGGAAGTGTAAGTGAGGAAGGCAGATTTGTAGAGGGAGAATGAACGGAGGGACCTGGTTTTGCGCCATAGTCTCTCTAGCGCGGGACTGCGGCGTTTGAGGCATTTAGTGTGGTCGTTCTGCCATGGTTGGAGCGGTCTAGGTTTGATTTAGCGTGTGGTTAGGGGTGCCAGAGAGTCTAGGGCAGCTGACAGAGAGTCGTTGTACGTGGTAGTGGCTAGGTCAGGACATGACAGTGGAAGGATGCTGTCATGTAGGCAGTCGGCAGCTGAGTGGAGGGGGGCCGGGTTCAGGTTGCGGAGGTTGCGGCTGGTGATGGTTTGGTGCTCTGGGGGGGGGGGGGGGGGGGGGAGTTAGGGGAAGGGGAGATGGAGAACGTGAGGAGGTGGTGGTCGGAGAGAGGGAATTTCAAATTGAACTAAAAATAAACTCAGCAGTACTGCAAGATAATACTCTCCAACACAGGAAAAAAATAAGAAACAAGAAAAACTGCAACACTGATACATGTGTCAACAGCATAACAAGAGATCACACAGATGCACCATTAATATATACAGCCAGATGCTGGATCTGCACATATAGGGGAACAGTTGTACTTCTATCAGCTTTTTATTACTGCCAATGTCAACTGTAATTGTCTATTGCCAATTTTAATTTCTTCATCGCTGTCTATTCCACTGACAACAAAAAACATCACTGGGTCAGGGAGTAACTTTTTAAAAAGTTTTTAAATGTTTTATGTTCCTGCAATATTGTCACTGGGACAAGCAATACGTGAAAATATCCCCAATGGGGGATAGGTTTAACCAGATGTTATCATTGGAGTTCCACTTTGAAGATATATAAACTCGATGAGTGGATAGGTAAAGAGTAATAGAACTCATATAATATACTGTAGCTTTCCTGGAGAAAATGCTGCTCCAGTTTCCCTCCAGTTCTGGTGATATGACCAAAAGTTGATGTTATTGCTCATATGATTTTTATTGAAGAGAATTCTAAAATTCAGATTGTCCTTACCCTAGGCCCTGGGATTTGATCAGCACTGGAGTAAAGCTGGAGCAGCATTTTCTCCAGGAAAAGCAAGCATTTCAGCCCCTCTATTACTCTTTATTTTGCAAGATGTATTAACACTTCTGTCTAGGTCCAATTTACAGCATGGGCAATGGGTAAAATCTGAACCTCTGGGACAGGAATTGAATGAATGGTTCTGTATGTGGACAGAAAGTGGTCTCACCTTGTGCATATCTTCATATTTGAGAAAAAGGACATTAGAATCCAAATGGTGATCCCAAAATTCCTGGACGTGCTCAAACCATGAACCGTAGCCCACTGCCATCACAAAAAAGAAAGAATGAAAAAGAGATTTTACATATCCAGTAGAAGATTTAGCAATATTTTGTGTCTTCATAAAGAATATGAGTCAAGCAAAATACAGAGGAAATCGCTGACCAATACACAGCAACCAAATACAGTGTAAATGTTATTATTATTATTATTATTATACAGGATTTATATAGCGCCAACAGTTTGCTCAGCACTTTACAATATAACGGGAGGCAATACAGCAACAATACAGTTCAATACAAGAGGATTAGGGGGGCCCTGCTCCTTGGAACTTACAATCTAAGAGGGAGGGACTGGTAGAACAAAAGGTAATAACTGTGGGGGATGAACTGATAGGAGGAATAGAAGATTCGGTTATTAGCTGAAGGCAGGATAGGCTTCCCCGAACAGATAGTTTTCAGAGATCACATAAAAGTGGCCAGAGTATGCAATAGTCAGATAGATTGGGGTAGAGAGTTCCAGAGGATGGGGGAGGCTCTGGAGAAATCCAAGAGATGAGCATGGGAGGAGGAGACAAGTGAGCTAGAGAGCAGGAGGTCGTGGGAGGAGCGGAGAGGACAGTTTGGGTGATATTTGGAGACAAGATTGGTGATGTAATTTGGGGCAGAGTTATAAATGGATTTATAAGTTATTGTTAATGTTTTGAATTTTATGCGTTGGGCAATGGGAAGCCAGTGGAGGGATTGGCAGAGAGGAATGGCAGACATGGAATGGTTGGTAAGGTGGATGAGTCTGGCAGTAGCCAGACTCTGAGGAAGGGTTGCATCGGATTGGTGACAATGAATTAATGTAGTATCTCTCTGTCCAGGCCTTTAACAATACTGGGCACAGAAAGTACTCAGACTAGTTTTAAGAGAGAGAACATTGCTGAAAGCCATATGTTTGTTAAAGGAGAAGAATGGCCAAAGCTTATTTGGCTATACTTCTCCTATGGATCACAGGAGTGCAGATTATTCAACAATGGGCTAATCCCTGCTGTTAGCTGATGTTACTCAGCCAGTCCAGGCTCTGGAGTGATACCAACTTTAATTTTGGGATCCACACAGATTGCTGACTGGCAGCTGGCTTAGCCTCTCAGAGCAATGCTGAAAGGCTGAGCCAGCCACTCCCGCCCCCTTCACAGCCTGGTGCTCCAGTGAGTGCTGTCGGGGCAGAGCAAAGAGCCAATGACTGACAGTCACTAACCCTCTGCTCACTGAAGACCGAGAACTGAGCAATCAGTGGTCTTTGATGCTCAGCTCTCAGTCTTAGAGGCAGTGGGAGAAGATGCAGCATCAGTCCAATGTTGGAAGTCTACACTCTCTTTTAAAAGGGCCATTGAAGATAAATATCAAGTTATATCACATTAAAGCAGTGTTTCTCAACTCCAGTCCTCATGGACCCCCAACAGGTCATGTTTTCAGGATTTCTATTATTTTGCACAGGTGATTTGATCAGTTTCACTGCCTTAGTAATTACCACAGCTGTTTCATCTGAGGGAAATCCTGAAAACATGACCTGTTGGGGGTCCATGAGGACTGGAGTTGAGAAACACTGCATTAAAGTGACCCTGTCCATTTTTATTAGCACAGGATGGAAGCTTCAGCTGTGACAGGTTCCCTTTATAAAAAATGTTAGTCTGTAGGTGTGTGTGGTATAAGAGCGGGCAAGCAAATCAACATAAAAAATCAGTGTGTTTAAGACAAATTAAGGGGGTCTAATTATAAAAAAAAATTGTTGGACAAATGTCACAAGCATTCACCCAGCCATAACGAATTTCCCCCATATATTGTCTAATAGGTTCAGTGCCTATGCTTGTCAGCTCCATCTAGTGGCCATAATGCTGTATTTTTTTTAAATACTTCAACCAGGTAAATGTTGTTTGCAATCATAGGAAATAAACCTATTAGACAAAATACAGAGAAAGTTAGTTACGGCTTGGTGAAAGCTTGTGACATTCATCCAGGTAATTTTCAGAAGTAGGACCCAAAGTGTTCATTCCTTCAGTAAATTTCAGATTATGACCTTCAGTTGAAAGCTGTAAACTTTTTTCTTACATTTGTCATTCATAAACCTCCTGCAGAATTCCTGGAATGTTCCTCGGTAACTCATAGTCCGCAGGCATCGGTGGAACTGATAGTAGGACACCACCAGGTCTTTGGGGTTCCGTGCCATGTAGATGACCTGCAACAGAAGATGAGTTTACAATGAGCTGATCATACCAATGACTTTCCAGCCTCCATCTGCAAGTGATGCCAAGACACAACAAGAACAGCAATATCTAAAAACAACCACTCCAGGTCTCAGCACCGACAGCAAACAACAAAACTGATCCTCAGGGCAGGTACTAAACAGAGGCGGACTGACCATTTGGAAACTCGGGCACTGCCCGAGGCCCCAGGGTCAGTAGGGGGCCCCATGAGATGCCTCTGGTACCTTTTTCATAGGCTTTTTTGAGTTTGGACAAGGACACAGGGGCCCCATGATTCCCTTTTGCCCCCCATGAGTTGTCAGTCCGCCCCTGGTACTAAATACTTGTGACCAGGAGTTTTGTGTACGTGGGGGGGTCTGCTCTTGTACATACCAGTTCTGGGGATAGGGCTTCCCTGCTGTCAATCGGTCTACGTGTTTCAAGGAGTAAATGCTCCTCTTCCTCAGGATTTCTCAGCTCTATTGTCCTTAGGAAGATGAGCATGTTCTCCCTGAAATGCACTGAATGAGTGATTGACAGCAGGGAAGCCCAATCACAAGATTGCTTGCATGAACTTTTCCCATAGACCTGTAACTCACTGGCCACAAACATGCGGTGTCTCCACTGTGTGAACCCTCCCACTAGGTTTAAAAACATTCTATGGTCACAGCAAATGGGAAATGATGGTGAAAACAGCATTCTAAGTTTGAAGTTTACCAAACTAAAAACAGAAAGAAGAAAATGGGTATGACCAGGGGCGGACTGACCATTTGGAAACTCGGGCACTGCCCGAGGGCCTGGGGTCAGTAGGAGGCCCAATGAGATGCCCCTGGTAGCTTTTTCATAGGCTTTTTTGAGTTTGGCCAATGACACAGGGGCCCCATGATCCCCTATTGCCCGGGGGGCCCAATGAGTTGTCAGTCCGACCCTGGGTATGACACCTCAGCAAATAATACACTAACATAAATAAAATTAATATTTTATTAACCACTTGACGTCTGCCCTATAGCAGCTTTTCTGCTACATAACTCTGCACTTCCAGCGCTATCTTTGGCTCCTGTACATGTCAATCACAGGGTTCCAGCCAGCGATTCATGGACGGGACCCGGTGATCGGCAAAGCAACTGACAAGAGAGAAATCTGTGAAGCAGGGAGATAAAAACCTGCACATTCCCTATTAAAACAGTACACAGTAAAAGCATTCCCTAACACACATGTAACCCTTTGATCACCCTAGATGTTAACCCCTTCCTGCCCAGTGTCATTAGTACAGCGAAAGTGCTTTTTATTAGTTATGATCACTGTATTAGTGTCATTGCAGATGACAGTGTCAGAATGCCAACTGCATTATCACAATCACTATAAGTCGCTGATCACCGCCATTATTAGTATAGAGCAAAGACATGTAGCAGAATACATTTTGGCTTAAAGCGGAGTTCCACCCAAAAGGGGAAGTTCCGCTTTAAAGATTGGTCCCCCGCTCCCCATTAAGGATTGGCACCTTTGGGGAGCGAGGGGGGGAATGGGTACCCGAATTTGACAGGTAGTCGCTCCCACTTCCGCTGCGAATGCCTAGGCGATTGATCGGAAGCTTTCCTCCTACCCTCCCTCCCCGAAGTCTTGTGGGACACGTGACAGGTCCCAGAAGACTACAGGACCATTCAGGAAGTGCAGCGCTACTCGCGCATGTGCAGTGGGTACCCGGCTGTGAAGCTGCAAGCTGTCACCACCGGGTGCCCACACTGAAGATGCCGGCGCCTGGAATACAGGATGGCCGGTGTGAAACGAGCTGCTGCGGGGGCAACGCGGGATCATGGAACAGGTGAGTGGCTGTTTTTGTAGCTGCTGACTTTTATTTTTTTACAGAGCGAGTGGAACTCCGCTTTAAATTTATGAAATTTTATTTATTTTTAATAGGATGTTTTTATAGCAAAAATGTTCAGTCTTTTTTCATTTATAGCGCAAAAAATAAAAAACCCAGTGGTGATCATATACCACCAAAAGAAAGCTCTATTTGTGTGAAAAAAAATATATAAATTTAATTTGTGTACAGTGCTGCATGACCGCACAAAACAGACCATATTCATAGAGCTATGAGGGACCAAGATCCAGCAGATAGAAATAGAGCAATGAATCAGTTGTGTTTTTAGACTGAAAAGCGTTAGCGTAAGTTTGCAGTGGAATATTTCTACTCCTTTATGCAATACAGAAGATTCTTGTATTCACCTGTTGCCAACATTTTTGGAATTGGACTTGTACTTATAAGCAGATGGAGACTGCTAGTCGGCCACGGTGAGCTCATATGCTTGAAGCCTAATACATTTGACAGGTAGTAGCAACCCACTTCTGTTTGGATTTGAAAAGAGATGTAAATGTGTCTCATAGGAACCCATGTTAAATGCAGTGTAGTGCATTTCTGCAAAAAGTGTTTTTTTTTACACATAGTTGTGAACCAGGCCTATAGACATACCCTAGGGCACTTTTTTAGATGACTTTGGTGTTTTGTTTTAAAGCAGACATGACACCAAACACTTCTATGGCTTGACAGTTTGGTTGAGCGCTAACATAGGAACATCAGTAACTGTAAAGCCTCGTTCACTCGAAGCACACAATACCGTACGCCCGTGCAAGGCCGTGTTTACCCACACGGGGATGCACATGTATTGTGTGTATCCCCATCAGGCAGTCCCATTAATGTCAATTGGGATACAGTCACTGCTTCCAATATGATAGCTGTTTGTCCCCGCATTCACATGGTCTGCAATTAGGGACATGTACCCACACCCACACAGATGTCATATTGGGACACAGCAACTGTGTCTGTGCAATTGATATCAATGGGACTGCCTGATGGGGAGACACAGGACACCCATACATCCCGGTGTAAGTATACACAGCCATATGGTGTATTACGCCCCGTGTGTACAAGGCCTAACAGTTATCATTCAAGGTATAAATGTGTGGGTTTAATTCCATTTTAAAGCTGAATGACAGGCAAACAAATGAATACACAAATGGAACACATGCCAAATGATTAGTATTTCTGTGCATCCAGTCCTGAGATTTATACAGCCAAGACACACAGCACAGTCCTGTCTGACAGGACAGAAGACCTGTTTTTTTTTTTTTTTTGCCTGCTGCAGTTCAGTAACACTTACACATCTTATTCCTCCACCAGCCTGTGACTATTTAATGAAAGGAGAAGTAGTCACCAGATAAGGTCATCTCTCTGTTATTCTTCTTGCTCCTCCTATTGGCATGCTCCATGCACTGCAACGCAACTACCTGCTGCTTCTCCATCTCCCAGCTCTGTACAGGGACTACAAGAGACTGATACCAAATGGAGCAGCTGTCAGTTTTAGAGTCCAACGCCAGGCATTCCTTGCAGTGGGCCACCTTGCAGTGCAAGGGTTAAATACCTGTTCCTATGATACTTAGTACCACGTAGTGGGCAAATGTGGTATTTTCCCTTTTAAATAAAGCTGGATGGCCAGGTTGGGTCTAGGTTTCATATCTGGTGGCAATGCCCGCTTGTAACTAGATTTTGGATTCAAATGTTCTATTTGGTAAACTCAGTGACAGGTATAAATATTTGCAGATCCCCGGAGACAGCGCTCTTTCACAACTTTCCAGATAATGTTCCCAAGAAATCCCATAAAATGATTTCCTATATGTTTCTAGCTGCTAGAATTACAATAGCTAGATACTGGAGGCAATCGGTCACTCCACTTGATTATATTGAAAAAAAAACTCAACTGGATCATGATTAATGACAAACTCACCTGTATCTTACACAATAACTCGAAGAAAGTCAATAATACATAGAACCCATGGATTCAATACCTCTCTGTGCCTTAATGACCCTCATCTGGTTTTTCCTTTCTACTCTTTTCTCTTTTTACTCTTTTTGTATACTTTATGTTCGCATGACGAGACATACTTGACTACATATTGGCCGCTATTTATATCTTGTCTTCGCTGTCAATTGTTATGGCAGAATTTGCTGTTTTGATGTTTCTATCTGTGTATGTGATGGAACATTCTTCATTGTTATTTTTTGTTTTATTTATGTCTCTTTTTTCTTTTGTAAAACTATTCAATAAAAACCATTGAAATGTAAATAAAGTCTGAACATTCATTTTTTTTTGTGCCCCATTAACACAGAGCAAATGTTTGTGCACTTTCACTAGATGAATATGGCATTTTTTTACAAATACACTGTGGAACTATAACTATAAATCCTGTATAATAATAAGAAGAAACAATTACATATGCTGATACATATATGCTAAGCTCGTAAGGGATTTGTTTTACATTTTTCTTACCTGTCTATATTTATAAAGACATATTTAATTTTTTTTTAGAGAATTATGCAGGTGGGCTTAGTAAAACACTTCCCTACGTGGACTATTTATTTCTTGAGGTTTATTTAACTATTATATAATATTGTTCTCTATATTCAATATGGTTTCTGTGGCTTCGATCCACATCTGTAGTAGCATTAAAGGAATTTTCCCCAGAAAATAAAAAATTTAAAGCTCAACTCCAGGTACAAAAATGTATTGAAATATATTCCTCAATAGCCACACAGGATGTAAATCTTCTTTGAGTACACCAAATGCCTTTGCAAACTGATTACCTTGAAAAAAAGAGCAGTGACATCATCATTTGTGGTTCTGATGACCTGTGCAGAGAGCAGAGAGCGGGGGGGAGGGATCCAGCAAGCCCATCATACTACAGGCTTCCTGCAGAGAACTGGAGGAGGGGGCGGAGACAAGACCAGTCAACCTGGACACGGGGAGAGAGCAGCAGTAACTGGTCTTTAGTACAGAAAGCTTCTGCACAGAAGCAAAGTTTCACACTGGATTACTGCACAGATCTGAAAAATACACAAAGCACACAAAGATTCACGGAAGAACAGACACGGCTCTTGTATTTACACAATAGTTTGCTTATCCAACTTGATGGGTCCCTCCCACAGCTTTGGTCGCTGAACAGGCCATGAGCAACAGAGTGATGATGTCACTTCTTCTTTTTCAAGGTAATCTCTCACTTTGCAAAGGTATTTTGTGCACGCAAAGCAGATTTATATCCTGTGTGGTTAATGAGGAATATTTTTTAATGAATGTTTTTGTAACTGGAGTTTTAAAATTTGTATTTACTGGGCAAAATTTCTTTTTCGCTGACAGATGTGGAATGAAGCCACAGAAACTATATTGAATATGGAGAACCATATTAAACAATAGACAAATAATTGTCAAGAAATAGTTTGTCCGTGTAGGGTACTTTACTAAGCCCATCTGCATTCCTCTCTTAAAAAAACTAAATACACTTTTATATTATAGAAGGGTAAGAAATATTTTTAAAAAACACTGATGACCTTAGTGTTAATGTATCAGAATATGTAATTCATTATTAGTCAAAGGTATCTGAATATGTAATCAATTATTTTTAATATTATACAGGATGTATAGTTTTTTACTTTTAATACAAAAATCCATACAAATTCACCTAGTGAAAGCGCATGTACATTTGCTCTGCATGAATGAGGCAAAAAAAAAGTGATTGTTATGAGGCTTTATGCTGAGTTAAGGCGGCCATAGATTTGCGATTTTCTTGCCGAATTATCGGCCGAAAAAAAAAAAAAAAAAATTGCCCGATATTCGTACCGTTAGTGGGGAAAAATGTTGGGCGTTTTTCTTAATTTTAAGAGATTTTGAAAATCGTGGAAAATCCTGGGACGATTTGTTAGATCGGCCGATTTTCGCGGTAATTTATGGTCAAATCGGCCGTTCTTCTGGCCGATTTGACAATAAATTGACTATGAAGAAAAGAAGAAATAGAAGAAATAGATTTTGCAGGAGAAGAAGAAATAGAATATCAAGAAGAATAGAAGAAAAGAGGAGAAGATGAAATAGATTATGCAGAAGAAGAAGAAGAGAAACAACATTGTATCTATTTGTATGCATTTCGGATACAGATGTTTCTATTCAAGTACAAATAGATACAATGTTGTTTTCTTCTTCTTCTTCTTCTTCTTCTGCATAATCTATTTCTTCTGTCAAATATAATAGCGGGTCTCTATGCAGGGACACAGCTATTATATTAATTGACGGCCATAGACGGGACTAAAACCCGCCGACTTTTTTTTCCTTAATTAGTGGCAACGTCGGCTATCTGAACGACCGATTTACATTTAAAAAAAAAAAAAAAAACGGCCAATTGTCCCCTTGTCTATGGCCTGCTTCAGTCAAATGTTTTTCATTTATTTAAAGTGGAAAATACCACATTTGGCTACTAGATGGTGCTAAGTATCAAAGGAATGGGCATTTAAAGTGTTACTAAACCCACAACAGTAAAATCAATCTGTATATGCAGTAAAGCAGGCTTGTTATACTCACTGTGGAACCTAACGGGTTAATACTCTGCATTGTGTAAAAAGGACATTTTATCCTGACTTCTCTGCTCCTCCTCTTGTTCAAATGTCCACCTCTGATCTCCTGATAAGATAGACTGAACGGTTGCCATTCTGCACATGCTCAGTTTAGTGTGTATTGCTAGAGAGTTTTTTTTTTTGGGGAGAGTGCATGTGATCAGCACAGGGCCAATCTGCACTGTCCAGACAGAGGTCAGGGGTTTTGCACCCTCCTAGAGCAGAAAGAAAACTCTTCCTACAAGCTTTAACCAGCACTCAGATGGACACTGACAGAAGTCACAAGACTGTTCTAACTGCTGATGAGAAAAGGTATTTAGCAGTTTAAAATAATTGCATTTCCATGTTGTGTGTACTGTGGGAGACCAGATATAGTGAATGCAGGGTCCTGGGTTTAGTAACACTGTGTGTGTGTGTGTGTGTGTGTGTGTGTGTGTGTGTGTGTGTGTGTGTGTGTGTGTGTGTGTGTGTGTGTGTGTGTGTGTGTGTGTGTGTGTGTGTGTGTGTGTGTGTGTGTGTGTGTGTGTGTGTGTGTGTGTGTGTGTGTGTGTGTGTGTGTGTGTGTGTGTGTGTGTGTGTGTGTGTGTGTGTGTGTGTGTGGTGGGGGGGGGTCCACTGCAAGGGCACATTTTTTTAAATTCCTGGAGTTGGCCTCTAAAGCTGACCTCCAGGTACATAAATGCAGCTCTGTACTTATCAATACGTCATCAATGTATTTTTTGTGAATGTAAGCATTGCAAGCTGCCAATTTTGAATTAGTATCAGCCTCTTGCAGTCCATGTACATACAGAGCTCAGACTGGGAGAAGCAAAAGCAGCACAAGATGCCAGTTAGTTGTGTCAGTGCAAGCAGCATGAATTTTGTGGATTGCAACTGGATGTTTCTGCTGGGTTCAATCAAAGCATTTTCAAACCACCTTGTGCTTGATCGAAACCACTCATTTCTGAACTTTATTGCTCATAATTTCAATTCCAACTCCATTGAAATTGGTTGAAATTTCCGGAAGGTTGCAACATGTATGGCCAACTTTACTTCTTCATAGTTACCTTGGATTCTCCATTGTGCAGGTCTGTTGGCAGAAATTGGTAGGGCAGATGACTCTTGATTAGTCGCGGAGAAGTCAGTTCCTGCACCAAAAACATATATTTTATATGATAATAAATATAACAATAAACATTTGTGCTTTCCACTATACCACTTTTAGATAGAGATACCAGCTACACCTTCTGCACCGAGGGAGTTCTAATACTGTACAACAATTACACCAATCAGCCATAACATTAAGTTAATAGCATTGATTATCTCATTTTAATGACACCTGGAAGTCAGTGGGATATATTAGGCAGCAAGTGAACATGTTGTCTCTGAAGTTGATGTGTTTAAAGCAGGACAAATGGGCAAGCTTAAGGATTTGGGTGATTTTGAAAAGGGCCAAATTGTAGTGACTAGACAACTGGGTCAGAGCAATTCCAAAGCTGCAGCTCTTGTGGGATTTTCTCAGTCTGCAGTGGTCAGAACATACCAAAGTGGTCTAAGGAAGGAAAACCAACAAACCAGCGACAGGGTCATGGGTGACCAAATCTCACTGATGCATGTGGGGAGCTAAGACTGATCCAATAAAACTACTGTAAATCGAAGTGCTAAAAAAGTTAATGGTGGTTCTGATGAAGGACAGAACACACAGTGCATCCCAGTTTGTTGTGTATGGGGCTGCGTAGCTGCAGACCGGCCATTGTGTCCATGCTGACTTCTGTCCAATGCACCTACAATGAACACATGAGCATCAGAACTGGATCACAGAGCCACGGAAAAAGGTGGCCTTGTCTGATGAATTCAAGAATAGTTTGAGAAACACAACAACGGGTTTGAGGTGTTGACTTGGCCTCCAAATTATCCAGATCTCAATCAAACCAAGCTACTGTGGGATGTGCTGGAAAAACAAGTCTGATCAATGGAGACCCCACCTTGCTCTTATAGATCCTAAAAGATCTGCTACTGACAGCTTGGTGCCACATACCACAGCATACCTTCAGAGTCCATAACTCGAGGGGTTATGGTGGATGGTCATAATGTAATGGCTGATCAGTGTATATTATTACTGGAAGGATTCAATATAAATAGTTTTTGAAGTCCATATTTTATAAACAATAAGTAAAGTGCTTCTCTGCTACTGGTCTTTGGTCTGCTGACAGTTTTTCAGCTGCCTTTTGATTATGATTTTGTGATGATAAGCTAGGCACAGCTCAAAAGGATTAATAAATACAGTTTCAATTCTGTCCAGCTGGTCCTGTGGTTTTAGATACTACATTCAGCCCTGGTTCACACTGATACGGTGCAGAATTTGCAGCGTTTTCTGTGCGAATTCCGTACCGCATCAGAATCGCACCCCGTTCATGCGAACTGCTGCGGGTGAGTATGTTAAGTTAACAACACCCCAAAAGCGATACGCAAATCGTGGTGCAATGTGCAGAATCAGATTGCATAGGTGTGAATACCCATGCGATCCGATTCTAGTGCGGACCCAAAAACGGTCCTGCACCTTTTTGGTGCGGGTGTGGTGCAATTAGAGCCATACAAAATGTATGGCTCCAATCGCACCGCACACAAATCGCATGTGATTTGTACAGGAATGCGGTGCGGTTTCTGTGTGAATCACATGCGATATACCATACCGCATATATGTGAACCCCCGGTTCAAACTCCACAGCTAGGCAAGTAACACCCCAACTTCCTGTTTTGCTCTACAACTTCCTGTGTCACCTACCTACTTTGAAGGAAATGTTTTATGAATGTTTTTTTTCAAATGCCATTTACATATTTATTATGTTTAGAAGAAAAAAATATTTTACTTTGGCAGGAAAATATGAAATATTGCATTAGGATAATTCACATTTACCCCTTGCAGCCAGCACTGAGCTCTATGCAAGATTTGCCAGCTTTCCTAAAGGCAGATTTACTCTCATGATGTGAATAGCCTGAACTTTCTATTTGACCTGAAAAGTAAGAATGATCAGATTACACACACACATCCTTCCTTCACTTTTTCCTAGCTGAGAATGACTAGCCTGATCTAACAAATGTACTCATTTTACACAAGCAAGCATGGGATAATTAAACAGTGAAGCATTCCCTACAAATTGTATCATGGATGCAGTTTGTAAATTTATAAACTTAAAAAAAATTAAAATAATGTTAACTAAAACTGTAAAAAAATAATTTAAAAACATGACAACCAGAGCAAAAGCACTTTACTACTGTCAGGAATGGACTGGCCAGCTATGGTGGGACTCACCTGCCTTTTGATCTGCAGTACCAGGGCTGGCCAGCGGGTGTTCCCAGCAATCAGAGACTCAACTTTGCAGCCAGCTAACACCTGTAACTGATTATGCTGGGGTATTTAAGGGATGGCCAGACCCACAGACTCTGCCTTGGTGTGTGTTTGTCCTGGGCCCTGCATCCTGTTTCTGTCCTGCATCCTGTTTCTGAACCGCTGCTGACTTCTCCTGCTCTGATCCCGGCTCGCTTCTGACCATCCCTCTGTCTGACCCTCTGTACCACGCTGCTTGCTACCTGTTCTGATCCCTGGCTTGTGACCCTGACCAATCTCCGCTTGCTCCCCCTGTACCTACCTGCCCTATTGATATTGACCCGGCCTGCCTGACGACGCTTGCTTGTATGTACTGTTATCTGTGGGTGGTTTGGTTTGGTTTGTTTGCACTGTATTATGTTTTAGTATTTCACTGCGTTTATGTTTGTATTGTTAGTGTTAATAAATTATATTGTTTATAACATATCTGAGGTCTGCGTTTCCCTGCGTCAGTCACACATCTCTGGTCACACCTGGGAGCCCTGACATTACACCAAGGCCAATCCTGACCAGAAGTGGCTGCACAGGGAAGCCATCTTGGCTTGTTGATGGGAAGGATGGATCTGGATGAGGTTGAGTATTTATCTCTGCTAGTGCTTGATGACAGAGAGTATGCTTATCAGACTCTGAAGGAGTATCCCCGGGATGAACTGCTAGAATGTATACGGCTCACTCATGTTCTAGTAGATCAGGGCACAGATTTCTCTATGGTGCAGCCATTGATTCAGGTTTGTGTTGAGTTGGTTTCATCTGGTTCCCCCGAATGCAGGGATGAATTTTTGCCACCATTTAGTGCAGACCAGGTTGAGTCCCTGGGTGTGGTTATTAGAGGATGATGTGGGTTACTTTCTGGAGCGTTATTCCACATGTTCACCACAGACACTAAGAGATTGTATAAACGCAGTGCAGTCATTGACCAGACAGGCTTTGTGTAAGCTCAGCTTTGTTCAACCCCTACTGCAGACATGGACAGACTTGTTGCACCCAGCCTCAGTCAGCTTACAAAGACCCAGTCCTGCTTCTAACTCTACTCCTGTATTCCCACCAGCTCCTCCAGTTACAGCCCAGTATACTTGGCTATCTACCGCATGTCAGTACCCTGTTCCCACTCGCTGCACCTATCCTGCCTTTAACCCTGTAAAAAAGCCCTCTGTAGCAACTGCTCCCTCTCCTGTTCCATCCTCCAGTTTTTCTCTGTCTCCAGCTGCTCCATTCGTTTGCAGACCTGCGTTTACTTGCAGTGCTCCAGTAGTTAAAACCAGAAAAAAAGCGAAAATTCTTTCCAACCAGTACCATCCTGCCAGTATCCAAACCGGTGAACCTGCCTTCCGTGACTCAGCCTGAAGCCTCTCCTCAGCCTGAAGCCTCTACTCAGCCTGATGCCTGCATTCAGCCTGATGCCTCTACTCAGCATGATGAACTGATCCAGCCCGACGATCCTATTAGGCCAGTTGACTCGATGCCCGCTGTTGATCCAGATGATCCGGTACCTGATCCAGTGCCCGCAGTCTTGCCAGACGACTCGGTGCCCGCAGTCTTGCCAGACGACTCGGTGCCCGCAGTCTTGCCAGACGACTCGGTGCCCGCAGTCTTGCCAGACGACTCGGTGCCCGCAGTCTTGCCAGACGACTCGGTGCCCGCAGTCTTGCCAGACGACTCGGTGCCCGCAGTCTTGCCAGACGACTCGGTGCCGCAGTCTTGCCAGACGACTCGGTGCCCGCAGTCTTGCCAGACGACTCGGTGCCCGCTGTTCCGCCAGTGGACTCGGTGCCCGCAGTCTTGCCAGACGACTCGGTGCCCGCAGTCTTGCCAGACGACTCGGTGCCCGCAGTCCGCAGTGCCCGCAGTCCAGACGACTCGGTGCCCGCAGTCTTGCCAGACGACTCGGTGCCCGCAGTCTTGCCAGACGACTCGGTGCCCGCAGTCTTGCCAGACGACTCGGTGCCCGCTGTTCGCCAGACGACTCGGTGCCCGCAGTCTTGCCAGACGACTCGGTGCCCGGTGCCCGCACTCGGTGCCCGCAGTCTTGCCAGACGACTGGGTGCCCACTGTCGTGCCTGGTGACTCGGTGCCCGCCGCTTCGTCTGGGGGTCCGGCGCCCGCCGCTCCGCCTGAGGGCCCGAGACCTGTAGCTCCGCCTGGGGGTCCGGCGCCCGCCGCTCCGCCTGGGGGTCCGGCGCCCGCCGCTCCGCCTGGGGGTCCGGCGCCCGCCGCTCCGCCTGGGGGCCCGAGGCCCCCGTCGCCCCGCCTGGGGGCCCCGAGGCCCGTCGCCCCGCCTGGGGGTCCGATGCCCGTCGCTCCGCCTGAGGGCCCGAGACCTGTAGTTCCGCCTGTGGGTCCGGCGCCCGCCGCTCCGCCTGAGGGCCCGAGACCTGTAGTTCCGCCTGTGGGTCCGGCGCCCGCCGCCCCGCCCGGGGGTCCGAGGCCACGTCGCCCCGCCCGGGGGCCCGGTGCCTGTCGCTCCGCCCGGTGGCCCGCTGCCTGCTGCTTCGCCTGGTAGCCCGATGTGCCTCTGCCCGGGGTCTTGCCCGATGTGCCTCTGCCCGGGGTCCAGCCCGATGTGCCTCTGCCCGGAGTCCAGCCCGATGTGCCTCTGCCCGATGTGCCTCTGCCCGGAGTCCAGCCCGATGTGCCTCTGCCCGGAGTCCAGCCCGATGTGCCTCTGCCCGGAGTCCTGCCCGGTGTGCCAGTCTTTGATATCCCGCCAGTTACCAGACCCGGGCGGTGGAACATTTTTCCCAGCTAGGACTGTTTGGAGCGTCCTGAGGCCGCTCCTTGAGGGGGGGGGGGGGGGGGTACTGTCAGGAATGGACTGGCCAGCTATGGTGGGACTCGCCTGCCTTTTGATCTGCAGTACCAGGGCTGGCCAGCGGGTGTTCCCAGCAATCAGAGACTCAACTTTGCAGCCAGCTAACACCTGTAACTGATTATGCTGGGGTATTTAAGGGATGGCCAGACCCACAGACTCTGCCTTGGTGTGTGTTTGTCCTGGGCCCTGCATCCTGTTTCTGTCCTGCATCCTGTTTCTGTCCTGCATCCTGTTTCTGTCCTGCATCCTGTTTCTGAATCGCTGCTGACTTCTCCTGCTCTGATCCCGGCTCGCTCCTGACCATCCCTCTGTCTGACCCTCTGTACCACGCTGCTTGCTACCTGTTCTGATCCCTGGCTTGTGACCCTGACCAATCTCCGCTTGCTCCCCCTGTACCTACCTGCCCTATTGATATTGACCCGGCCTGCCTGACGACGCTTGCTTGTATGTACTGTTATCTGTGGGTGGTTTGGTTTGTTTGCACTGTATTATGTTTTAGTATTTCACTGCGTTTATGTTTGTATTGTTAGTGTTAATAAATTATATTGTTTATAACATATCTGAGGTCTGCGTTTCCCTGCGTCAGTCACACATCTCTGGTCACACCTGGGAGCCCTGACAACTACTTTAAAGACTAAGTTCACCTTTCCAGGCAGAATTTTACTTTTCATAATAAGTAAGACTTTTCTAATATCTTTTCTGCCCAAGTCATCCCAACGTGTTAATCTTTCATTTACCTAGTCCATGGCAGCCTTCAATCTGCACCTCTCTTTTCAAAATTAAAAAAAATGCATATTAGCCTATCACTTCCTGTAGCAGCATGTGATCATCCAGGAAGCTTCAAATTCCATCCTGCACTGCCTTACTGCATCCCGGAATAGGGTGTGTTTTACCTCTCTGGACCGCAACTCTCTCTTTACTCTACCACCTCTTGTTTTACTTCCACCCACATTCCTACTTCATCCTTTAAGGCAGAAGTGTCAATCTCAATTTCATTGTGAGCCACATCAGCACTATGGATAACCTCAAAGGGCCATTTGTGTATATGTAAGACCAGATGTCCAGAGCACCCCACCTCCCCTTACATCAGATGTCAAGAGCCCCCCCCCCCACCATTAGAAGATGAGTCCCCCACCATGGGAAATCAAGAATCTCCCACTCTTCCTTACATCACAGTGCACCCCCTCTACATTGTGCTGCTGCTGGAAAGTAGGAGGTGCAGGGTCTGGAGCAGGTGCAAGGGCCACATGAAATTGCCTGGTAGGTCGGATTCGGCATTGGAGAAGCATGAAACTAGAGAAATGGGTGGGAGCAATCTCCTGGAGGGGTAGGGCAGGTGCAGGGTGTGTTTTAATGAGGTCAGCTGCTAAAGTACTTCCTCAAACAGTTTTCACCTTCTAAAGGACACATACCAGGATCCTTGATAGGGCATGCTTGAACTTGTAGTTCCTATTCCCCCATATATCTGTAATTTGACTATAATCATGACCATAGTATCCTCCTTGTTACCTATTTGTGATCATGTCTAGCAACCAATCAGATGCTTGCTTTCAGCTGAATATGGTTGGGTGCTATGGACAAGGCTCTGTTTATTTTCTACAAATACTTGGATCAATACCTTGATGATATCCAACCCGGGCTGAGGATACTCTAAGACAGGCAGCTGTTCATCAATGTTCATCAGTCCTATCTCATCAGGATCGGCCCCCTGGCTCACTAGATACACGATCTCCTGCAGCAAGCTTGTTCCTGCAAAATAAAAATTCCCCCAAACACAAATGACATGAATTGTACATTGGCAAGCAGATAAAAGTGTCAGGGCTGAATTTTGAGGTTTTAAAAAGCTTTACCAGGAAAGACAATCAATTTGGCTTTTTGTTCTGTCTGAGAATATTGAAAGATGACAGGGCTCATTATGGCTGGCACAGGCTTCTTGTTACAAACAGAAATGACTTTTCACCTTCATAGTTATACTGATTTGTACTCATCCTAAAAGAAATGTAACAAACCTCTGACTCTTAGTTCTAGTTCACACTGGATCTGACTTTAAAGTCGCACAATGTCAAAGTCGCATGTCAGTGCAACTTGCAGACATCTGTGCGATTTCATGCACAGATGTCAATACAATTCAAACCTGAAATCGCAAAAAAATAGTGCAGGAACTACTTTCAAAATCTGTTGGGAGTCGCACCAATTTGAACGGTTCCATTGCAGACAAAAGGGTGCGACTTGTGTGCAATTTGAAACTAACAAATCGCATGATAAATCGCACCAGTGTGATCAAGGGATAAAGCTGATCTCTAGGATTTCCTCCCCCAACAGTGTATGTGAATGAATCCCGGCCACACTGCCAGTCTGTGTGTAACTTACCTTCTTTAGCTGTACACTGCGATTTCTGTGTCTGTGATGTCACTCCTCCTCCCGGCTGAATTTTAAAGATCTCTGACTTCCTGCCTCATGCTGGTTGAGGGTCTTTTAAAGGGGAACCCCACACTTTTATTTATTTTTGCAGTGGAGATCCCCTTTATATTCATATCAGACCCTAATGCTGGCTGAGGGTCTGGTATGGATATTAAGGGGGAACAAAACTTTTTTTGATTGTAGCTGCAGGGTTCCCCTTTATATGCATATCAGACCCTAATGCTGGATGACGGTCTGAGAAGGATATTAAATGGTAAACCCCACACTTGTCTGTTACAGATATTAAACCCAACACTTTGTTTTTGCAGCGGAGATACCCTTTATGTTCATATCAGACCCTAATGCTGGTTGAGGGTCTGGCATGGATGTTAAAGGGGAACCCCACACTTTTATTTATTTTTTCAGTGGAGATCCCCTTTATGTTCATATCAGATACTAATGCTGGATGAGGGTCTGGTATGGATATTAAAAGGGGGAACAAAACTTTTTTTATTCAAGCTGCAGGGTTTCCCCTTATATTCATGTCAGACCCTAATGCTGGCTGGATGACTGAGATGAATATTAGGGGGGAACCACAAGTGTCTTTTTTTTCAATATTATTTTGTAGCAGAGTTCTATTTTATATTCACATCAGACCCTATAATGCTGGATGAGGATCTTGTGTGGATATGAAAGGAGAAAGCAACAAGTTTTTTCATTTTTCACACAGAGTTCCCTATTATAATCATATCAGACCCTAATGCTGGATGAGGGTCTGGTATAGATTTTAAAAAGAAACCCCACACTTTTGTCGCTTCATTTTAGCTGCAGACTTCCCCTTTATTTTCTTATCACAACTTAATGCTGGACAGGGATCTGGTAACAATATTAATGAGGAACCCCACACATGTCTCGTATGGATATTAAAGGGCAATCCTCACTTTTATTTATTTCTGCAGCGGAGATCCCCTTTATAGTCATATCCGACCCTAATGATGTATGAGGCTCTGGTATGGATATTAGGGGGGGAATTTTTTTTTTATTATTCTAGCCACAGGGTTCCCCTCAATATTTATATAAGACCCTAATGCTGAATGAAAATCTGGAATGAAAAATAGGGGGCAACCATGCACGTTTTTTTTTTCAATGTTATTTAGCAGCAGAGTTCCACTTTATATTCACATCAGACCCAAATGCTGGAGGGGGATATTGTTTAGATATGAAAGGAGAAACCAACATATTTTTTAATTTCCCACATGGAGTTCTCTTTTATAATCAAAAACTCTAATGCTGGGTGAATGGAAGGGAAATTAAAGGGGATTCCACACTATTTTTTTCAGCGTGGTAGCCCAGCATTTAGAGGGTTAAAGCGGGGGGGGGGGGGGGGGGGGGATACAACACTTTCTCACTGCCTTTCAAATGCTCTCTGAAGAGCAATCTGAATGAGGTGAAAGGCCTCTTTCACACGGGATGTATCAGTGCATATACCTGTGTGACAGCCATGTTTACCCGTATGGGGATGTAACGGTGTTCTGCCCCCTGCAGGTGTTTCTTTTCATGTCAGTTGAGATGCAGCAGCTGCATAGACATGACCACTGTGTTCCAATATGACATCTGTGTGGGTGCGGGTCCCTGAACATAGACAGTGTGCTTTCAGGGAATTGCACCCACACAGACACACCGACCACATCCATGTAGTCGCTGCATCCCATGACATGTACAGAAACATCTGCACAGGGAGAACACCTGTACATCCCACGCTGCCCTCACACACATGTACGAGTTAATATGCCCCGTGTGAATGAGGCCCAATGGTTCAATTTTATTTGGTGGTTTGTCAAAAAGCTCATTTATACTAGTGGTTATTGGGTGGTAAAATCTTGCTGTTGAGCCGTGTCTTTACCATCCACTAACAGAGACCGTGGTCATTCAAGTGAATGGGGCCACTCTGGAACTCTCCAACAACCACATGCAATGCACAAGGTTGAAGTGCAATAGTGTGGGGTTAAAGCAGGTGGTAAGGTGGGGAAACGCCTCCTCACCATCCGTCAAATGCTCCCTGAAGAGCAATCTGAACACAAATCACTCTTCAGAGAGCAAAGCTAGTATGGAGGAGCCCAAGAAGAACTAACACATACATAATGTGTGCCATACCTGTCTTGCAGCATAAAGGTATTTTCTTCATAAGTAAAGTACAGGCCTCTTTATGGTGGCACTTGGACTTGAGAAGACAGTGGTTGGAGAGTAGGGCTCTGTGGGGGTGGGACGTTTGGGAGCGGGGTATGTGGGGGCGGCACTATATCTAAGAGTGAGTAAGCAGCATATAAATTAAATGGGCGGGATTGATCTATTCAATCCCGCCCAAAATCAGTGCTGATTACATGATCTGCAGAGTCAGAAGGACTACAAGTGGGTTGTACCAGACTCTGCCAGTCTGGAAGTGGCTGTGTGAGGATTAGAGTCACACAGCAGGAACTTATGCTGTTCTACAGGACAGGAAACCAGACTAAGGAGAGGATATCAGGGGATCTGCAGACAAGTTGCAGCATGCTATAAGGGTACTGTCTGAGCTTGGATTTATAATTGCATTCATTTTATTTTCATCCAAAGTTGAAATTCAGCTTTGAAGTCAGAATTTTGTGATAAAAAGTCAAAACTCTGAGTTTGATAGTTAGACTTCTGAGATGAAGGCCTCATTCGCACAGATGCTTGGCAGCTCCTAGGTCGCTGAGATGTGAAATCTTCGATGTCTAGGGGGAGCCACATGTGCCATGGATAGCCATCAGTTCAAATATGGCTGTATGCGGTCAAGCTTGGGTAAAAACTGATGGCTTCTCCATTGACCTGCTCATGTGCCCATGGTGCCTCTCCACAAACAACATTTGGGAAAAAGTGCTGTACGCATGGGCAAACACCAAAGCAGAAACATCAGAATTTACCTGAGCTTGGCACATGCAGTTCCCCGGGTACAAGAAAGTGCTAGGGATTTTCTCAACTCAGCACAAAGGAGTTCCTATGCGTCCATGTGGATGAGGCCTAAAACTTACAATTCCAGCTTTATTATCTCAGAATTCTGACTTGTAGAAAGTTAAAAATTTCATAATTACAGTCATAAATCTGAGACAAAATTAAAACTCATAATTCAGAATTTTAAAGCTAGACTTTTGACATTGAAAACCAGAATTTTAATTCATAAATTTCTTTAAGGATGGTCCCAGTGCTATTCCATATTGAAGAGATAAGCATCAAAGATGAGTTTTGGCCTTCTTTTCAAGCAGCATTGGCTGATTCCTGTGTCACTCATTAGTCTGTTATAGATTACAGATACTGATTTGCAGACATCTCCCTTCCCCCAACTCGTCTGTGTCTCTTTGCAACATCAATAGAGGCAAGGCCGAAGGGACCTGAGCTCAATGATTCCTTAATATTTATTTACCATCATTTTCCCACTAGGATATTACGCAATTCTTTACAGCGTTCTTAGAATCCTTTGCATCAGTCCTTGTCCGGCATAGGAGCTTACAATCTAAACCTGCCAACAAATATAAGGCAGCTGGACATGCTTGCATACAGACTAGGGCCAGAATTCTGCAGGCCATATGTAAGACGGTGTTACAAGTATATAACTGGGGCAGCATATCCTCCAAGTGTGCAGCTAACCAAGTGGTGGGGTAACACTTACGCCCATTCCTGCCCAGACATACGATGGTTCCCTAGACCTACCAGGACAATAAGGGCATGAGATCCTCCTCAGATTAACCCTTGGAACCTGCCAATACACAAGCACATCCTGTGTTTATCCCATCCCTACTTCAAGACTTTCGGCAATGGACGTCAAAAGCAGCCTCACCCACCACTGTCTGTTTCCAGAAGACGTCTGCATCTTGAGGTTAGGAGAAGGAAGAGTCCAAATTATAAAAACCTTTTAACTGTTTTAACTGTTTACTGAACCAGTTGATTTACATATTTATATATTTCAGCCATCCCAATGGTTAGGGCACATATTTAAAGGTTGCAAGCAATAGACAGAACCATAATGAGAGGAGAGCAGACTCGAGCAACCCATACCTTTCAGGGTGTTCCTGCATCCCATGCAAGGGGAATGCAACTACTCCCAACAGTCCTCCTCCTCCTCCTAATTCAAATTTGGGACATCTTTTTTTTTGGGGGGGGAGCGGGTACCTGGTTTTCACAGAAGTCCTCAAAGTGTTCAGTTCTGGGGTATCCCATGCCCCTCCACCCTATCCAAGTTCAACATTCTCAATTAAACCCTAAAAAAAAACCCCTTTACCAGGGGTCTCCAAACTTTCTAAACAAAGGGCTGGTTTACTGTCCTTCAGACTTTAGAA